TTGTAAAGTTCGTTTTTGACATGACAACTTGTACTTCTCATTGTTCAATTCTTGTTTCTTAAGATGAGTAGAATGGCTTAGGACGGAGTTTCCATACGTCAGATATACATGTGACCCTCACCACTGGGTGCGGCTGTGGGACAAGTACCCCAGTGCCTGAGCTCAGCTCCACAGCAGGTTTCAGACTGTGGTTCCTGTTATGCAAACAACATTCTCCCTGAGCAAAGTCTTAGCATAACTGGCCACCGTAACCCTGGCCCAGCCTTGGTGCGAGAGCTCATGCAGTGTCTTCTCCCCCAGGACTCTGTATAGAGAGGTCTTCCAAGAGCAAAGTTCACTGTGCTTTCAGGTAGCGGAAGTAAAATGGAGTCCCATTGGCACCGTAGAGATCAGAGAATGCCTCTTTAACACATTGCTTTACATTTTGTAAACAAAAGTTAGCTGGGTGTGGTGGCACACACTTGTTAATCCCAGTGCTTGGGAAAAGAAGGCTGATGGTTAACTGTAGGAGCAATGAGAAGCCACAGAAGAGGCCTTGATTGTAGCCAGGGGCCTTCAGAAGACAGAGAAAGGCTTGTACGAGCTGTCTAAAAGATGGACTATAGCTGATTCCAATAAGATCAGGATCCTGAGCAACAGTTCAAAAACAGGTTCGGCTGCTGCTGAAGATGCCTCTTTGTTCTTGAGAACAAATGCCATAAGATCCAAAGGCAAACACAAATTGGTGCTGTCAGAGGGAGAGGAGAGTGTTTGTCCTGTCTGTGGTGGTGGGCGTGCATCTGGTCCACCTGGATAGAAACAGGACTGTGGCGGGATTATTATTGTCGTTCAGAAAGAACTTCAGTCTCTTGTCATGGACTCAAGACAGGGCATGCGTGGTCAGAAGGCCCCTTCTCATTTGTCCATGTGAGAAAAAGGCTGAGGAAAGGGTTTGCCATCATTTCGTTGTTCATTTGTGCACAGGATGGGGGATGTGTGGTTTCTTGCTATGAAATAAGGAGTCACTTGACCGAAAACATTTTCAGCCATTTTAGATACAAATGTCTTGGTTGTTCTTGCCTTTTGCAGATACATCGAGGAGTGAAAGGGTTCGTCCGCGACCTTCAAGGGAACCCGATTGCCAATGCAACCATCTCAGTGGAAGGAATAGACCATGACGTCACCTCGGGTGGGTGTTCCAGACACAAGCACAGCTGTGAACCATCATAACAGTTGTATTTCCTATATTCTTCTAAGCCCAAAGCCTCCTATCCTTTGGCCCTGTCTCCAACTCAGCTTTGATTTAGGTTAAGTTTGGTTTGTGGGAGGTCAGGGTGGCTGCTGCATGTGGAGCAGGAGGACAGCAGGTGGCGCCCTTTCCCCATGGCTACAGCAGCAGGTGGTGCTTTGTAGTTGTTCAGGCACAGGCAGAATTCCCTGTATTCAACTACATGACTTGGAATTCTTATACATTTTGTTCTGTCTGTCTGTCTATCTATCTATCTATCTATCTATCTATCTATCTATCTATCTATCTATCTATCTAGGAGTTGTTGATACGTCTCCATTATTCAGAGGATTCTGGATACTATGAGATCAAAGTTATGATGGTTAGTTCTTTTTAGACTTAAAGGACCAATATTCATTTTTCTCAGTTTGGGGAATAGGATGTCTTTTCCTGGAAAGTCTATTTACTGCTGTTAAACATCTCTGAAGCTCATTTCAGCTTCACGGTCTCTTCGGGACATCTTTCACCATTAATAACAACAGCAATGTTTTCCTAGCCAGAAACTTTTTTACAGTATTTCTAGACCTTATAGTTAATTACCCCTTAAACTTATTTTCTGAAATGCTAATGCTCTATGTCATTATCTCTTTCCTGACTACCATATTTGTAGCTTAAAAAAAGAAAACCTTTTACCAGTTATTTTCTAATGTTTCACTCATTCATTTGTCCAACAAGTATTTATCAAATCTCCCTGAGCTCCAGCATGTCTTCCAGCTGGTGTTCCAGAATCTATGTCTAGACAGTATTTCCTTCACAGGGAAGGGCAGGGGGCTTTTCTCCCTTCTGCCACAGGAAACCTATTCTCTGTTGGTCCTATGTGCCATATAAATAACCTGTCCTTTGAAAAGTTAAGGGAAATCAAAGCTAAGGAATAACTAGGTAGAAAGGAATGAAATCCGAGGCCTGTGCTCTAGGGCGCTCCAACTTTCTGAGGGCAAAAAGGAAAACTAATACTGAGGTAACAAGAAGGAACTAACCTGGGGTTGGAGCTGTGGCTCAGGTTTTACAGTGCCAGCAATGAAGGAGAGCAAGTGTCAGATACTGAGATCAAGTTCTGGTCTCCGATAATAAAAGTAAAGGAACTAGTATAGAGGTGGAGCTCAAGTGCTGGAGCACCGGCCTTGAGTGAGAATGAGAATGTGAAACTCTTGAGTAAAAGGCTCAGAACTGGTCCAAAAAAAACAAGGAAAAGTAGAATGAAATAGGAACGGAAGGAAGGAAATGAGGTGTGCTGTTCGGGAAGGCTGGGGTGTTTTCAGGGGGAGGGAGCAATACAAGGTGTCAAGAAGGTGACCTTGTGAGTTAATCCTCAGATTCGGTAGCAAGTGGAGAGTGAGCAGGAGGAGCCCAGTTGGATCCAAGGGATGGGTGGGGCAGGTAGGAAGATAGCTATTGGGGTAGAGAATCTTGACAGATCTTTCCAGAAGGCTTTCTGTGGCGCACAGAAAGTACATGCAGTGCTAGCGGGAGGGGGAGGAAGGGCTTCTGCCTTCAGTGGAATAGATTGTGCAGAACCGCGTGAGAGTGGAGTGGTGAGGGAGGACGAGGAAGAGGAGGAGGAAGAGGCCACATCAGGAAAGACAGGAGAAAGCATGGCGCGTCCGCTCGGACATCCTTGCCGTCAGAGCACGGCACTGTTCCCATTCAGACATTATCCTTGGACATTATCCAAGGCGGGTGGCTGTCAGTGTGTGAGGACACAGGAAGCAAAGCGGATGAGCGTGAGCGGGTAAGAGGGGGGAGGGGGAGGAGAAAGAGCTGGAATCACAGCTGAAGAATTCCCTAGAAAACTCGTTGAAGATACAGCTTCTAGAAGGTACCTTGGACCCATGTATTCTGGGTCTTTAGAAGTCTTTGTGAGACGATGATCTAGATTTTTACACCATCGGATCTTCACCTGATGAGAATACCCAGCTGTTTTGAACCCGCTACGTAGGGGCTCAGTGCATCTTTTTACCTGTGTGTGTCCCTGGCATGATTAGATGATCTATGGTCCTAGCAGGTTTAGCATTAATTTCTATCAAATAGCTCTAAGCAATGAGGTCTGGAGAGAAAGCTTCACAGTCCTTTTTCATAGAATGTCATTGGATTATTTTTCCTACATACGCACTTTAAAAGTAGAGACTCAAGGACAGAGAGCTGACTGAACTTGTGCCTCAGTTTCTCCTCTCAGGTAGGCCATAGAGAGATGCCGCACATTGGGGGGATGGAGGGCAGGTGTAGCCAAAGCTCTCCATCCACAGACTCATCCATGGCACGGACAGCAGCAGCAGAGTGTAACTGTGGGCCCTGGCCCGTCCCAGCATAGACTCAGGACTGCACAGCTGCACCGGCTGCATTCTGTGCACAGGGTCACGTCCTGTCCATCGTTCTGTCCCCTGCATTCTGTCTCTGAGCAGCGGCGTTTCTCACACTGTCTCCTCCAGTGGCAGCGCACTGTCCAGCAGTGCTACTTCTTTGTATCCTCTCTATAGTGGCATCTGGCCAAGGACGGCCACCCAGGGCTGTGCCCGCAGGTGTGCGCATCCAGGCTCAAGGCTACAGGCAGTGTGACCTAATGTAACACATCATACAAGACTCAGGTCGCTGATATGTGGAACTGGCTGAATGCTAGTCCTTGGCAAGTGCAGGCCCAGAGCCTTCCGAGATTACAGCCAGGGAAACCCAACTTACTCCGTGCACCCTTCACAGCTAGTATAGTGGATGTTCCTTAGATGGCATAATCAGACATTTCATATATTGTGTCTGCCTGTGGGGTGAAGTTCTGTTACTGTTATCTTACAGCCAAGGATGGTGATTACTGGAGATTGCTTGTACCTGGAAACTATAAACTTACAGCCTCGGCTCCAGGCTATCTAGCAACCACAAAGAAAGTGGCAGTTCCTTACAGCCCTGCGGTTGGGGTAAGTGATCATCATGATCATCATAATTAAACTAATGCTAACTCAGCACTTACCATTGTCCAAGCATATTTATTTATTTATTCATTTTTGCTTTTTGTCATAAGTATTTTATTATAATGAATATTTTCGTAGATCTCATAATTGTCTCTAAAAGAATAGAAAATGTTTCTTCAGGTCTGGCTTACTCAATACCATTTTTTCCAAGTCTTTCCATTTCTTTACAAATAGGGCAATGTCATTCTTTTTTTTTTAATTTTATTTTATTTGTGAACATACTGTACAGAGGGGTTACAATTGCATGGGCAGGATAATGCGTACATTTCTTACCAAGCATTGCAGCCTCCTCCTTTGTTTACCCTTCCCATCCCTTCCCAGCCTCCCCCCCCCCCCCCATCCCCACCCTTCTCCCCCCCCCCCCCCCCCCCCCCCCCCCCCCCCCCCCCCGTTGTAAAGCTCGTTTTGGACATGACAACTTGTACTTCTCATTGTTGCATCAGATCCACCTGTATCCTTAAACAACTGGTTTTTCCCCATCTCCTCCACTAGTTATACTGACATCAAATATAGTGAAAGCAGGGGTTATACTGTGGGGGAGGGACATACAAAGCAACAAAGAGATAATCTTATAAATGCGTTAGAAACACATGCATGAAAGAAAAAACATTAAAATACATATCTAAGGGTTCATTTTCCTGACATCACATTATCTGACCTTTTCTGTGTCCAAGCATATTTAAATGACTTTGATGTGATCATCCTAATAACCTTATCCCAGAGGTTCTGTCATTATCCACACTTAGATAGAAACCCAAGGCCTAGCTGTGTTAAGTGGCTTCCCTGAAATCCATCCAGGGTCTCATTAGGGTGATTTAATTCAGGCGGTGTGGGTATTAAAATCCGGAATTCAGTGTGAGCAAACGACACTGGGAGACAAGTAGCTCCAAGGACAGGAGGTAGAAGGGGCAGCTATTTTGTTCTTCTGTCTTTCTAGCCTGACATAGCCCCAGGCAAGAATGATCACCTTCCAAAACAACCAGGGGTCCAGGCGGCTGGGGCCGGGAGCCTTTCACTCCATTGAATGGGGTCTGAGGAGGCTCAGGAGCAGGAGGTCAGCTCTGTGGCAGGCGTGTGTGTGGATTCTCCGGAGACGTGATGAATGCGTGAAGCAGCAGAGGGTGGTTTAGATTTCTGCCAGACTCCCTTGAACTTTGCTGTGGAAAGCAGAGTCTGTGGATTGGGCACCAGGCTCCCCTGTGTTCTCCCTCAGCTCAAGAGCTCAAGGCTTACAGGAAGACCTCACCAAACACTCAGAGGCAGAAAAGGAATTATAAGCTGGGTGCTGGTGGCTCACATTTTAGTCTCAGCTGCTCAGGAGGCTGAGATCTGAGGATCGTGATGCAATTAATTCGGTTAACTGGTCAAAAGGCAGAGGTGGAGCTATGGCCCAAGTGGTAGTGTGCCAGCCTTGAGCGAAAAAAGCTAAGCAAACATATGAAGCCCTGAGTTTAAGTCCTGGATTACCACCACCACCCCAAACACACAATAAAAAAGAAATGGAATTATAAGTTATACCTTTTCATGAGAGGAAAGAGGCCAGGGCAGCAGATTTTGTAGAACTCTTACCTGTCTTTAAAGCTATTATTAGTTCAAATCACATTCAGATATGATGGCTTTTGATATTTTCCTGTGCATGTATATTTTGTTTATATTTGCAAGAAATTTTTAAAAAATCGATTTTAATTCAATCAAGGTAGTCTGGATTGCGCTCATTACATCACTTATAAAACTTATTTTAAAATTTTATATACAGTTTGATAGCAGTGTTACCAATTTTCTCCTTCAGGTTGATTTTGAACTGGAGTCGTTTTCAGAAAGGAAAGAAGAGGAGAAAGAAGAGTTGATGGAATGGTGGAAAATGATGTCAGAAACTTTAAATTTTTAAAGAAGCTTCTAATTAGCTTCTTTTCACCTCTCATCGATCTCATGTAGTATGATGTAATGTGGCCACTTTATTTTAGATTTTGTGCAGTTCATATTTAACATTGATTTATTTTTTAATCGTTAAATATTAATCAACAGTACTTAAATAGACTCTTAGGTAGAAATATAAGAAACGGATCTATTTTATTCTTCTGCAGAGCATTCATTTTCCTACACAGAGGACTGTAGAAAAATCCTAAGTAGTTCTGGCAACTTAATGCACTATTCCGGGTGTTATTTACAATGCCGAACTTTTTGAGTCATTCTAGTTTTCACAATGAATTAGTGAAGCTCTTTTCATGTCACTTGGGTCAATGCTGCATAATGAATGCCATTGATAAAGTCAACAGATCCAGCTTGGAGTTGTGAGCGCTCTCCTGCAAGAATTAAATAGTGGAGTATCAATTGCCATTTGTCTCTTGTGCTGATGAGCTGTGTAAGCATGTTCCTGTTACTGCATTTCTGATGGGAAGACAATGTCCACGGGTAACAAGAGATGTTACGAAAAGAAAGGAAGTTGACTTCGTGCTTGTAATTATAAGGGCGATATTGTTATGACTATTTAGCCTGTTAATACTCCTTCAGAGTGTAGGGCTTCCTTGGTAGCTTGGCCTAGAACTGCATTCTGAATTAATAAAGGTTAAAAAATATCCATGGTGTACATTTCAATTCTCTGTGGTATTTGGTCAAAGAACGATGGTTTTGGTGATTATGGTGGGTGAAGGTTCTGATTCCATGGATCATATGGGTCATATCTTGTGGACACAGACTTTAAACAAATTCATATACAAACTAATATGTGATTATACATTGTGATGGGTAAAATGAAAGAGAGTATGGAGAGAAAAAAAAAAACCAGGACAGCTTGAGAATAGACCAGATGAGGGGAGGAGGGGTTGGCCTCCAATACACTGAAACCCAGACCTAAAATATGAACATGCAGGAGCATTGCAGAGTGACTGAGTATGGGCTGTGTGTGTGTGTGTGTGTGTGTGTGTGTGTGTGTGTGTGTGTGATACAAATATGTGGTGCTGGTAGTGATTGTAGTATGCTTAATCAATGTTCTTGCTACAGTTTTTTTTTAATAATACTACCATTGTCATAACAGACTCCAAAATGTCCAGTGACTTAAATATATCAGAAGTCTATTTCTTGCTTAGGTACTTGTTCTGGGCAGAAAACAGGAAATGAATTTTCTCCACTCAGCAGGAGCATCTTTTGATAGAAGATCTATCTCTCATATGCCTCCACCAATGCTGCATTGGTGGTCATTTCTAATGTAGCCCATGGGAACGTTATTTTTAAAGAAATTTTAATTTAATTTAATTTATATATATATTTTTGCCAGTCCTGGGGCTTGAACTTTGGGCCTGGGTGCTGTCCCTGAGCTTCTTTTGCTCAAGGCTAGTGCTCAACCACTTGAGCCACAGCACCATTTCCAGCTTTTTTGAGTAGTTCATTGGAGATAAGAGTCTCACAGATTTTCCTGCCCAGGCTGGCTTCAAACCACAATTCTCAGATCTCTGCCTCCTGAGCAGCTAGGATTACAAGTGTAAGCCACTGGTGCCCAGCTGATGTCTTTTTTTTTTTTTTTAATCAGCAGGCCTGGGGGTGTAAACATTAACTTCTGTCCACATCCCTTTATGTAGAGATGTATTCTGTCATCACAGTAACTGCAAGGGAGTCTGGGAAATGTGGTCTAGCAGTGCATCTAGATAGATGAGGAGCAAGTAGACTGAGCCAAACATCCCACAGTCTCTGCTGTGTGGGAGGAATGGTGAGTGGGTACGAACCCATTGGATTACAATGGAACTTTGTTGAGAACGTGGGGGAAAATGTGTGTGGAGTGGAGAAATGGGAGAGGGGAATGAAGCTGCCAAGTAGATAGGGAAAAAGTCTAGACGGATTTAGGAACATGGACACATGTTTTTGACAAGAGAAGTGGCACAGTCTAATTTCATGGTTCTAAGATCTTTCTGGCTGCTGTGTAGAGGAAAGAGTAAGGACCAGACAGGGATTCAATCAGAGGGAAGCAGAGGGATCCAAAGGCAGGTGACTCGGGTCAGGTTGTGGCAGGAAAGGCCAGAAGTGGGTGAGCTTGTGATGTCTTTCAGAGGTGGAATTGCCAGGTCTTCATGAGGAATTGATGTGAATGATGAGCAAGTGGTGGTCAGCGTTGATGTGTTTCTGACTTGACCACCGGGGCTCTGGTGTGTGGTCTACTGGAAAAGATGAAGATTGGGAAAGGTAGAAGAAGCTAACTTCCGTGAGGAACATGCTCAGCTTGATACAGGGGTAATAGATAGAGCGTGTATGGTGTGGAATGGATGGCTGGATTTTTTCCCCCTTATGTGTGAAGGTCTACAAAAGAGGCCTGGCATGAGAGCCAGTTGGCATATCAATAAGGTGGTAGCACAATGAAATGATCCAGGCAGTCGAGAATGAAAAGAGTGCAGCTAATTATATCAGGACAACAGATATAATCCAGAGCCGGCCACACTTAACTAGGGAGTGGAGTCACCCCCATATAGATGATCTTTAAGCCATAGGAACACATCCGCCTCTTCACGTAGAAGAAACCCACAGAGTGAGAAGAAAAGTAGAGTCAGGACTGAGTTCTAAGGAGTGTCAGAGTTTTGCTTCCTAGTGGTTTATAGATGTCAGGATGACTTGCTCTAGAAAGAAACAACCCCCAGCAGGGCGCTGGTGGCTCACTCCTGTAATCCTAGCTACTCAGGAGGCTGAGATCTGAAGATGGTGGTTCAAAGCCAGCCAGGGCAGGAAAGTCCATGAGACATTTTTTTTTTTTCGGGTCTGGTTGTGGGGCCTGAACTCTGGGCCTGGGTACTGTCCCTCAGCTCTTCAGCTCAAGGATAGCGTTCTACCACTTGAGCCACAGCGCCACTTCTGGCTTTTTTCCTTTTTGTTTATGTGGTGCTGAGGAATCGAACCCAGGGCCTCAGGCATGCAAGGCAAGCGCTCTACCACTGAGCCACCTTCCCAGCTCCCATGAGACTCTTATCTCCAATTGCCAGCAGAAAACCAGAAGTGGTGTTGTGGCTCAAGTGGTAGAGCGCTAGCCTTGAGCTGAAGAGCTGAGGGACAGTACCCAGGCCCAGAGTTCAAGCCCCAGGACTGACCAGAAAACAAACAAACAAACCCCAAATGGTATATATGGAAAAAGAGGAACAAAGTTATACTGGAAACCAGGAGTGAGGACCCTGGCAGTGAAGGTGTTATTGACAAAACATAGGTAACCGAGGTTGTTCTGGACTTATTTTCCAACTTATAATGAGCCAGGAATGGAAAAAATGGATATTTTATGTTGAATTCCTAATACCTATTTAGATGTGGTGTTCTCTTCCTTCCTTCTTCCTTCCGCCCTTTCTCTCTTTCTTTCTTTTGGCTAAAGTGAAGTGAGATCAACACTTCTGTCATTTGAATTCTGTCCTTGTTTTTACTGTAGCTCAAAGTGGCATGGTGTGTGTGTGCGTGTGTGTGTGTGTGTGTGTGTGTGTGTATGTGTGTGTTTCTGAAAGCATATCACATTGCTCTTTCATATGAATTCGGTAAAAACTCTGGATTGAGAATTTTGGTTTGAATGGAGGGAACAAAGGCAGCCGTGGTACTAGGTTGACACCATGTGGAAAATAAATATGCAACAGGGACAGGAGGAGGAAACTGGGAGAAATCGAAGGAAGGGGTGAGATTGTGAAAAAAGAAATGTACTCATTACCTGACTTGTGAAACAGTAACTCCTCTATGCAACACACTAATAGTAACAATACAATTTTATTTTAAAAAAGTAAAGAAGAGTCTTAGCTTGGGCCAAGGGCCAGTGGCTCACACTAGTCTAGCTACTTAGGAGTTTGAGATCTGAGGATCGCCATTGCAAGCTAGCAAGGCAGAAATGTCTGTAACATTTTTTTTTTTTTTTTGGTCCGGTCGTGGGGCCTGAACTCTGGGCCTGGGTGCTGTCCCTCAGCTCTTCAGCTCAAGGCTAGTGCTCTACCACTTG